CACGGGGGGTGTAGTTTGCAACGTGATGTATTTATCAACCATGTTAAACCCCAATGCATGAATGTCTCACTTGTGCAGTCTCATCATTACGACTGCATATGGCTCAAGGAAAAAGCGCGCTGTGTATAGGGTTATTTGTGACCCTTCCCGGTTGTTTAACCTGTTCTATACTTTTTATGCCTTTTTTTGTGTGCTTTTTCTTGGACCGAAAACCTTGTTTTTTCGCGTGCGCGTTCTTTGTCAAAACAATCCGTTTTTCGGAAGTGTTTTTTTGCCGAAAATCTTGGGGAGGGAGGGGGGCCTTGATGTTTGGACAATCCGGTGGCTCAGAGAGTTGTTTTTGCTATGTCAGCTGGTAGTGAAACTTGGCGCACGTGCTGCCATGGACATTTACGGGGTTGACGCTGACGAGCTCGCGCATTGCGTGGCGCTGCATGTCATTGAAATGAAGATTGACGAGATTATTGTCAGGAAATGCAGCCGGGTCCTGCGGCGGTTGATCATGGAAAGAACTGGGCGAAGAGCCGCGATGTTTCCTTTCGCAGTCGTTCTTGCTGGTATGGAGCGCGCGCTGATTTCGCCATTGCCTTCTGATGATATGGCCAGGGAGCCTCTTGTGCGGGATTTGTGCTCTCCAGGCTCTCCAGGACCAACGCAACTTCCACGCGTCACTGCTGAAGAGCGGGCCTTTGTGGAAGAGTCGACCCAGGTTCTGCACTTCTTGAACGAACTGGCCGACATTGACTGCCAGTTTACACCATTGGAGATGCTGTTGGACGATGCTTGTTTGACTTTGCGTGAGCTTGTCTGTTTACCCTTGAACTCTGACTGAACTTGCATCTAGAAAAGGCTGCGGAAACGCAGCCTTTCCCCTGAGAGCCCGGCTCAGCTTAGGTTTTTGCTTTGCCTGAGAAGTTTGGCAACTCCTGAGTTTTACAAAGCACAAGGAAAAGCGTGTCTGTTTTGCTGCCAGCGTTGCGTGCGGCTCATTGAGTTTTCGCCCGCCGCCCGCCCATTCGGTTCAACTGGCTCAGCTTCGGTTCGGCTTCAACTTGTTGAAATGTCCAGCTTTGTAACCAAAGCTGGCGAAGCCATGGCATCCAGGTACTTGGAGGAGGGCTCACCTGGCATTCTGCGGGGGCATTGCCTATACAAGTTGGCGGAAGACATCCAACGAATCACTTGCGGGCAACCAGACAAGATCCCTTTCTCGATGCTCATCAAGGTCTGCGAGACTCTGGGCCCTCTGTACAAAGACAACCGGATGAACTCCAAGATCATCAGCAAGTGCTGCGCCACACGCGCTGTGCTTGAACACTTCTTCCGCCACAAGACACCGGTGACTGATGTGCGCTACAAGGACGGCTTGTGGATGTTTGATGAGTACGAGATGCTGCGGCCGATGAAGGGGAAGCTGAACAAGGTTAAGCTTGACGAGCTGCGCACTCTCCATGACCAAATGTTGCAGGTGAGCGAGGCCCTGGATGTGTGGGGCGGTCTTGCCGCTGGCCACGACGCAGAGTGTGTGTTTCTGGCCATACTCTGGCCAGTCCATGTCCTGATACAGGACTTGCAGCCGGTGCTTCGAGAGTCATATACGAACACACTGCGGCAACACAGTGAGTGTTTGGGCTGAGCTTGAGGGGCTGCTGCAGCCTGAGAAACGATGTGTTTGCTGCCGCATGCTTGTTTGCAGGCAAGAAAAAGAGCACCTGGGGCAATATTTGTCAATTTGACATGCTTTTTGTGCAATTTACTTTGCAGCGCTCTGGTCCAAACTGGCCTTTTTTTAGGGGAGCCATGATGGAACAGTCAGACTGGTGTATGCACAACAGCGTGCCTGACGACACGCCGCCGGCACCCCCAGCATCGATGCCGCAGCCGCTTTGGGGGAGCACTTATTTTCTCACGCCCGCAGCGGCCGAAGCTTTATGGCCTTTCCTTACCCTCGGCGAGCGAGCATCGCTACAAGCTGCCGAGTGGTGGGTGCATGCAGACTTGCGGTGGTATATACGTGGCATGGCCGCATTGCCCGATTTGCTTTGTGACTCCTCCAGCAGTGCATCTGAACAGGAGGCCCTTCGCACCCGCCGCCCCAGGCGCGCCGGGTGACGCATGCCTGGCTCACTCGCCTCGCACCCGTGCTGGTAAACGAAGATAGTCAGAATGCCCTTGGTCCCATGTTTATACTGCCGGAGTTCCACGCAGCGCTGCTGCCGCGAAAACCAACTGCGTGCCCGCAGTTGGTTCTTGTTAATGGCCAACACCTCTGCAAATTCCAACAGTAGCTTAGTCTTGACTTTACACGTTTCGGGCGCAAGGTCGGAACAAGAAAAAGACCCTCTTACGCAAGGCTAATGGTGGTAGAGCTGCAGTCTTCGATTCGTGCCTGCGTTTGCTCGGGCGCGCCTGTGAACAGTTTGAAACATGTGTCAGGGATGCTGTGTTCATGTCGTGATGGTTGAATTGCCCGCCGCAGCTGTTAAGGAACATCTGTGGAACATCTACTTCCCTCATCGAGGAGAATGTCCCACCATGGACGAGTATAGGCAGGCACAACCAGGATCCGGCTATCCGATTAAGCTTCCACTTGGATTGAAGAAGCTTAGGTCTCATGATGACCCGGAAATCATCCGAGCATATGCCGATATCCTGGGATCGTTGATGCAGCCGACCGACCGACCTCCTGTGGACTACCTCAAGATGCATGAAATCACCTCATGCATAGCGATCAACATGCTTACCTTGAACCATGGAAACCTCACGAGAAATCCAAAACTGGACAACAGGGAGGTGTACAACATGCCGATGAAGGATCGACCAATCGTGAAGATGATGATGCAGAACAGTGCACACATCTTATGCCTGAATGAAGCAGACGCATTCTTCAGTCCTAATGATGAGAAATCCAGGGAACTCATCAAGACGTTCATCCGATTCGGGTACAAAGGCATCGTGATCAAGCAATGGTCATCCAGACCAATCGCATGCTTTGTCCGCGGCGGACCTTCTGCAAGAGTGGAACTACTGGCAAGACACATTTCCACCAAGAGTCAGAATTGGGGAACCACATTCGGAATGTTCAGATGTTTCTTCGGAACCGAAGGAAGTTGCACTGATCCCGAATACGAAATTCCGACCTCGGATTGCTTGGCAACTACGGGACCATCCATGTTTACCGAATCCAAGAAGTACACTGGACCGAGATTGCCAGCACGCACCATTGTCCAAGGACATGGCCGAGACAAGGAGATTGTCGTTCTCCATACCGAGCAGAGTGATGAGTTTCGTGGCATGCTTCCGAAATCATCTAACAAGTCACTCCTCGAGTATGACGACAGCCACGTAACGAGGGCAGACCTCCCGCTTGCTACCATTGGAGTTTTCCACATTCATCCCTCAATCAGCCATGGAGCAACACGGGAAGATCTTCAGAATGGAATTATGCCGCTCGTGACCTTGTACCGATGCGATGCGATCACCGGAGACGCCAATAAATCAGCGAATACCTACAGCAAACTCCAGCACGTCTGCCAACGGTCTCGTGAACATCCTCGTGAAGGCATATCAGAGACTGTGGAATGAAACAAAGAGTTTGCCACTCGTGGACAGAATGGAGTATGCGATGGAGACTTCGTGCACCCTAAAATCCATTGTCCGTCATCACCTGTACATGAAGTGTGGATCAGGATACGATCGAACATTCCCAGATGTGATGATGACTTTCGTGTTTGGATGGGGCAAAACGAATATCCAGCAGGTTTTCCGGAAGGACGAGATGAACGCCATGGATGATGAACAACTGGAAGCCATGCGGACGATCCAACAAAGGCCATATTCGATTGCCAGGTCTCATCCGCAGAGCGCTTTAAGCACGTGAACAATGACATGTTCATGAATGGCTCACAGGACTCCGACTCGCACAGTCCCTTTGCTGCAACTAGGCAACGCAACTTTGAGAGATCCCAGGAGTACCTCAAGAAGAAGCAATCCTGGATCCCGAAGGAGTACAAGGACTACAACAAGCAGTGGGGACATCAGAAGCAGTGGAAGGACTATGGCGCCTCGACCGGGAATGATTATGGAGACTATGGCAGTCAATCCGACAGCAGCCGTCGATGGTATCATCGATCCGACTGACCAGAAAGATTCATACGTTCAGCACTACGAACTCAAATCAGATGATTGATCCTCACCGCCTACAAGACTTTACAGTGAGAGATCAGTAGTTTCACAATCGTCCCGCGTGTACATAGCGTTGTACATCACCCTTTGATACATCTAGGTATCTCAAAAAGAAGCAGTACATAGTGTTTTCCCATTTCGAAAGCCAAGACATTTCATCCGAGCAGAAAAGAGGATGAATCCGCTATTTTAATACACATGGCTACGGCATACAGCATGGCTACGGCATACAGCAAGGCTACGGCCAAAGGCCATGAAGCCAATAGTATTTCATATCTGGTGCTGGAGATCAAAAGAAATTTGTGTCTGTTTTGTGTTTGGTTTGTTACACAATTGTTCTCCCGCAACCATCTGGCTCAAGGCCCTTTCTGTATCATAGCAATACTCATGATTGCGTGACAAAGGAACCTTTGCAGGCCGCTTACAGTTATCCACAATACAATCCACCAGGGACAATCCATCCTCCAATCATCCATAGTGGCATATTGGATTCTCTCCGGAATAGATCCAGGGACCTAAACAACGACCTCTACTACCAGGGCACCAGTTCCCTTCTGGGATAAGGTACCCCGGCAGTGGGCCTTTCCCAAAGTTCTACCAAAAGCACCGGTGGCCGTCCATGTTTTTTTTAATGCTTCACACCACTCCCCCAAAGGAAAATGGGAGCAACCACTACAGAGCGGGCTTGTTTGGTTTCGCTTTGACTTCCCTCCAAACCACCCACAGCAGAGGAGGGGGTCACACAAAATGGCTGTTGGGCTCAAGCTCACAGCATTGGACAAGACCGTTGTTTGTCCCAAACTCATCATCCTGCCATGGTTCGGTCATCATCAGCACGTCAGAACTTGGCATGGGCCTTCATTTTCTTGCTCGCTATGCAAGACGTGCATGCGGCACGAAACAGCAACCTAGCAGCAGAGCTGGCATCCCTGTCATCGCTCTCTGCGGAGGCCAAGCAAGAGTATGAGGACAAGAAGGCGGCAGTGCTGGCCAGCGGCGCCTTCTCCATCACCACCATGTGGGCCAAAGGGGACCCGTCCTCGTCAGCGTGGGCAAACGCCACGGTGCGCTTCGAATACACCGCTGGCGGCAGTGGGGAGCCGGCGCAGTATGTGTCCATGCTGGGCCTGAATCGCCCCTATCGCTTGCTGCCGGATGGCAGCGTCGTCAGCAAGCAGGTGAAGGGCATGCAGGTGCTGGCCTTTGTGGGTTGGCAAGCCCTTGACACGGACAAGAACCAGTGGGGCCCCAGCAACTATGAGAAGAACAAGGCCCTGTTCCTCCGCACAGAGATGAACCCGGCCATCGGTGTCACCACGTTTGCGTTGATGCGCCGGTCTGGTGGGCACACAGTCTACCAAAGCAAGAAACCAGGCTCAGAGGCGTACTACTTTGACAGCAAGGGCAAGATGCAGACGGTTGGGGATTCCGGCATCGCCAAGTCGACTCCCGTGCCCGCCGAGCCGCTGATGATGAAGATTGCGGGTGAGCCCGACAAGGCTTTCAAGAAAGCCAACCGCGATCTCATGCTGGCAGTGGACGCCATGCTGGGCCAAAGCTCTTGCATGAACAGCCCCAGCAAGTGCGCCTTCCGGTGCATGTACGACTCGGAGAAGGACCGGTGCGGGCCTACGGGTTTCTGCCAGAAGCTGGACGCCACGGATGGTCCCAGCGTCCTGGCGCCTTTCGGGCAGCAGCAGAAGTGCAAGGCGGTGGGCGCGGACTCGCACGAGGCGGCGGACGGGGTGCTGACGTTGCAGGTGGAGGCCATGAAGACCAAGGCCTTGGACCTGTCCAAGCAGCTGGAGGAGAGCCCCGAGGTCACGAAGTCGTCAGCGTCCAAGTCAGCGATGAAGCACACCGCGGACCTTTGGGAGGAGGCGACACATCTCATGAATGTCTTGGAGACGATGCCGGCGCGGTTAGGCCCAGACACAGGCAAGTTCCCCGCCGCCGGGGCTCGGGCGAGCGAGCCGGACTTCAAGACCTGGAAGCATGGCGCCCATCCCCTGACGCCGGCCCAATACCAGGAGGCGCACAGTCAGTCTGTCAACGCCCTCCGCAGATCGAACAGCCATTCGGTGGTGGCCAAGCTCCACTCCGAGCTTGTGGACTTCATGATCAAGCGCCCCACCGTGCTCATCGAATCGGTAAAGGCGCAGAGCTCCAAGAAGTGCCAGCTCACTGACAAGGATGCAGCTGGCAAGAATCAAATCTCCACGTTTGCAAAGTACTTCCTGAAGGCCCCGGGCTACAACCCCAGTGACCTGCAGAGGGCCCACGTGGACTTGCCGGAGCACTGTCAGGAGTACTTGGCCTCCGTGGAGCAGGTGGACCCTGAAGAAATGGCGAGCACCATCGAAGCAACCGAGGAGGCTGTGGAGAATCCTGCTTCTCTGCTGCAGATGAAGTCAAAGCACCTTCACAATGCCTTGAGCCAAGACGAGGTGGGAAGCAGCTTCCTGCAGGGTGACGCGGAGGTGGACACTGAGATCCTTGTCATCTTTTTGACGATCATCCTGCTCATTGTCTTCATGATCCTGTTTATGTGTGCAGTTGTTGCCGCCGGGGAAATGGCAAGGGACGGTAATGTCGCCGGCTACTTCTTTTGTGCGCTCTTTGGGGGTCTCGCCACAGCGGGTTTCTTCATGATGGCCTGGCCCGTGGGGCTGGGTGTGCTTTTGTTTTCAATTATAGCCTTGGACATGGCAATAAGGGGCCCTCGTAAGAGCGGCTATATGCAGAAGGGGGTCCGGGACCACCGGCGCTTGTTGGACCTTGCTGCTACTGCCATGTGACCGAAATGGCTTTGAAATCTCAAGGCATTGTCTGGGACACGTGTTTCACCGGCAGCCGGACGAAAACCTGCAGTGCCCTTTACCTCTGCCCACATGTTGCAACCAACCCCGTCTTGCCAGCAGGTTCAGTTGAAACATGGGCGGGGAGGGAGTGGGAGGCCCCAGAAGTTTTCGCCGAGCCCCCTGGGCTGCGTGGCCATGGGAGTCATTTGCAGCTCCCAATCCTGCTTTGAGACCAGCGAAAAGGTTAGGGGATTGGACGTCAGATGTGGCGAGCAACCATCGCTTTGCAGCCTGATGGAGCATCTTTTTGGTCAGATACCACTGCTGCTGCTGGCGTTCCTACAAGTGCAAATATGTTTTTTTCAAGGCTGAAAAAGGTGCATTGCTCACGTACACAGAATTGGCCCACGTCCACAACAACATCAGCCAGTTGGGTTTGTCTCAGGTGCACCTATGCTTCAGAGCAAGGTCACCCTCCCCGGTGCGCGGCTTCGGTGAGGCCGGCCGAAAAGGGCGGTGTTCCGTTTTTGCCCTTAAAACGGACTCCCTCCGGGGCGAATTTTTTGGGAGATGTTCGTTCGGATTCCGTGGGTGTGTCGTTGGAGGGTTTGGCACCTTTGCGGGCTTTGATTGTAAGGGAAGCCAAATGGAAGCCATCGATTTTGTGGTTCCCCAGTTGGCCTGCCAATATGCGTCAATGTGGCGGTGTGGTGTTCTCTTAAGCCAAAAAAGACAGTAGTCCCCTATGTTGGCACGTACCTATGTGTCGTAGTCGGTATTTCTCTTCTAAAACGCGAACTTCTTCTTCTCTTTTTCTGTTCCCTTCATTTTCTCTTTTCGTTTTGCTCGTTTTCTCTTTCTGACTGTTTTTTTGTTTGTCGTTTTCTCTCCCTCTCTTTTTCACTATTTTTTCTGTTTTTTGCTCTTCTTTGTTTTTCTCTCTCCTTCTCTCTCTCTCTCTCTCTTTCTCTCTCGCTCGTGTCAAACTACAGTGAGTGCATGATACAGTTGCATGTGCACTACACTGATGGTTGATACATACCGCAGGCCTTGAGCCTAGCCCTCACTACAGCTGGAGAAGAAACAAGGGCTGCGGCAGACTACATTTGTTTGTGATAACAACTGCACAGCATTTCCACTTGTATTTTAACGTGGTAGCGAAGCTGAGATCCTACCCAAAGGGGAGCTCCAGTAGTGTATGCCCAACTACGACGACATGACAGCAGGAGATCAACAGGCAGCATGAGTGAAGGTTTCAGTAGTTTGGTCAAGCCAACGCTTCTTGTACCAACTGGTAGGCTGAGCCGGTTGTTCAAAAGTCGTAGTGTTTCGCAACCGCTGGCTGTGTAGCGGTTTTGTCTGACCACTGTAGCCGCTGGGCCTTGACAGATGTTGATGAGGATATGTAGTGTAGATGACTGTTAATTTTTTTAAATCGGGGTTTATAACGAACTTAGGGAATCAGAACTTGTGCAAGGGGATCATAACTTGCGGCGAAGGGTGGTTTGTTTCAAGACAGCCTTCCTGACTTTCATTTATTCCAAGGCCAAACTGTCGTGTAAGCAGTTTTAAATCGGGGATTATAGCGAACTTAGGGAACCATAATTTGTGCAATGGCCAGGGGGTCATAACTTGCGGCGAGGGGTGGTTTGTTTCAAGACAGCCTTCCTGATTTTCATAGATTCCCAGGCCAAAAAACTATCATGAAGCAGTAAGAAACAAGATGGTGTCACGGTGGCCAGTGGCCGAGACAGGAATGGAGTTACGTTTTACCGTTTTGGTGCGCCTCTTTCCAGTGGTCACTGGCAATGGGCAAATGGCAATCGTCCCGTCTCATTGGCTCATGGCTCATGGCTCGCTCAAGCGCCTGCTGCTGTTCCCGGGGTTTGGTAGTTCCAGCGCGTGCTTTGGCTGCAATGTGCGCGCGCAAGCCTTCCTTCAGTTGAGCCCGAACACACAAACAAAAACAAACAAACGCAGACGCGCGCACGCGCACACACAACACACACGCGCCGCGCGCACACACACACAGGCCACAGGCCACAGGCAGACACAACCAAACACAATCCCATGCCACGCGCGTGTCACGTAGAGCCGCAGAGCCACGCCGCGCATCGCGCGCCTTTGCCACGTCAAACTTTGTCATTTGCGTGCTTTGCAGGTGCCAGTTTCTTCAGTTGCGCTGCAGAAGGGGCTCAAATGTAAAGCAGTTAAGGGGGCCAAACTCCAAGCCCAGATATGTCACAGCTCATTTTGCAGAGGGATTTTTTTTTCCGGAGGGCAGATGTGCTGAAGCTGTGCCGCCATGGATCTGGCCTTCGTGGCTGCCACAGCTGCAGCGGCGCACGAAGCACTCACTGCGGCTTGCGGGCCGATTCTTCGGCATGGAGCAGTGTGCGAGGCTGGGTCATGTTTTGTGTTGAGTCGTGCTGCCTGTACGCAGACGATGCGCGCGTGCTTCACCGCCCCCAGTGTGGTTTGCAAGGGGATCCTCGTGGTAAGGAGCCCTTGGATTCAAGGCTTCCCTGAAGTTTCCAGCCCTGCGCGAGTTGCCCAAACTCGGTCCCTCTGTGGGCAAATTTGCAGGTGCATCAGCTACGCAGAACATTTGGTGAGTTGGAAAAGCTCATGCAGGCCTGGCTATTTGAGGGACGCACGCCAATGATGCTGGTGCTCAGGTGGATGTGCGGCAACGTGAAGCTCGCCTCCAGCTCCTCAAGCCCAGCTTCACTTATGGGCGTGGCCGGCCAGCTTACTCGCTTGCGCAGCTCTTCCATTTCATGAGATTGTCGCTTGGTTGTCAAGATCGCCCGTGCTTGGTTGGTTGAGGATGGATCGTGTGCCAACCTATGTAAACGTTTTGTGACAGGGGCTTAGAAGTCCCAGTGCCAGTGCCAGTGATCCAGTGCTTGGTGGCTGGCAGTTGTTCTGATGCAGGTGCAAGACCACATGTCAGCTCCCGGTCACTCTTTCTTGCAACGTGTTTGCCAGAAGTCTTCAAACCTGGCCCTATCAGGGGAATAAAGCTGAAGAACGCAGCGCAGTTCAAGCTCACCATGCTCACGGCCCTCCAACTTGCTGACGGCTCACTGCTTGGGCTGACCTCGGAGTCGGAGGAGGCGGGAGGTTTTGCAGAAGGATGTGTGGCGGGCCCGGGGCCGAGCCCCGCGGCCATGTCGATGTCCAGATACAAATTGGACATTGCCCTCATGGCGATGCGTCGCCGCTTCTGGCAGATGAAAGGATTCAGCTCTCGCTGGATTTCGCTCTCCTATGATTCAAGTCCTCAGAAGAAGGAGTTATTGATAACCGAGGAATACACCGTTTTGCAGCCTGGCCAATGTTGTCGGTTAGGGTGACAGGGTGGTCATTGTGGGTGAGACAATGACAACAACCGTTTGGCGGGCGTTTTTTCCCATTGTTTCTGCGACACAGTCACACTGACTTGTTCTTCAGGCAGCTCCAGAGAGCCCCTAAGCAGATTTCAGTCTTCAGGATGTTGGGTTTGTCTTTGGCCACTTGCGCAGTTGTCGGAGCTTTGCGGTCGACGCCGCCTCTGCTTGTTTGGTGTTGGGAGTCATGGGGCGGTTTTGTTGACGCAAGCAAAAGGAGGCAGGTGATAGGTGTGGTTGCGCCTTCGGCAGCATTGACAAACGGTGTTTACCTCTGAGCGTTGTCAAACGTGTCGGATTGACTGAAACCCGTGCTAAGATCCGACGCAGCGGTGAAAGCCTTCGTTTCCTTCGTGATCAACGACGCTGAGGGTGTTGCAGCGCAGGCGCCCACAGAGGATGACCTGGCCTTTCAGCGGCGGGTGCTCCCAGTTTGCACGCTGGGTCAAGGCTTTTTGGCTTGAGCCAAAAAGCAACTGTTTGTGCATGTAGCATTGGCCACGCATGCATGTTTGTTGCTCAAACGGCACCTTGTGTGAGATGCTGTTTGGACAGGGGCGCGAGGTTAAGGTCAAGGTGCCAGCTTCCTTTCTGCTCCTCTGTCGCCAACTCTGTCGCCCAATCTCTTTGGAAAGCGGTTCCCAGTTGTGTTGTAAAGCTTTGCGTGAAGTGAGATGAGCTGCTTCTGCGCGTGGCGTTTACTTCACCAACACCACACCGGCTTATGTCAGACAGCCAACTCTTCACGGCAGACGCGGTAGGCGCTGGTGCGTTGTAGGCTGACACGAATCTCGGCGCGGCGCCGCGCTTGTTTCCAGAAGATTGGCGAAACGGAAGGTCCCATTCTTATACTTGTTGAAGTCTTGCTTCACCAGGGAAACTCATTTTGGGCAACCTAACCCACTGGCTTTGCAGCCTGCCTTTGGCCGCTTGTGCAACAGGCCACCTTGCGCATGGTTTGCGGCTGCAGACTGGTTGAAGGGTTGTAACAAGTCTACAGTGGTTGACCGCTCACTGATCGGGTTGAGCAGTTTGTCACTGTAGGTTGGCTGGCAGCCATGAGCCAATTACAATCCGAACAATCCAGCAAATTTGCCGGTACAATATGAAAGTGAGGAAGAACTGATCCCTCATGTTCCAACCTCATCCGGCACTGGAAGTTCAGAAAGAACCATGAGATACACTGACCAGGAAGATGGAGAATCAGAGGACCAGATCTTACGAAGACCACCAAGCTGATCTCGTTCTTGATGAAGCACATTGGTCACTCATGACAGCCGAACAGAAGATCTGTGCGAACACCGGATCCTTTACGGTTCCGAGAGATATCGAAGGCAACCCTGTCTTTCTTGGACGTGTGAAAGGGACCTTCATCCCATCGCCCCGATGCGGATTCTCTCATCAGAAATACACAGATCAGAATCATGTTGACCAGTTATGCAAGAACATGACCGATGATGACCGTGCAAGAATCCTTGAAGGCTTCATCCACATCCGCACTCATTGGCAAGAAGCGGAAGGAAGCTATAACCACGGAAATAAGAGCTTACCAGAAGCAATTCCTTGAAGCTAAGCAGCTTGAGTGCAAATCATGGCTTGACAACGAAGTGTTCGACTTAGTCGACACACGCAAGATTCAGGTCAGGAACTGGGTCACTGGTCGCTGGGTCCTTACCCTAAAGCGAGACAAGGATGGTAACTTCCTGAAGACCAAGGCTCGCTGGGTCCTCCGAGGCTTCCATGCATCCAGGAGTGGCTTCCGCCTTGCAATCCAAGCAGCCTCAAATAAAGGCTGGAATATATTTCACATGGATTTGAAGACGGCATTTCTTCAAGGCGAAGCATACGATCAGACTCGTGACATCATTTGTCAGATCCCTCCTGAAATGGGATATCCACCACACATTGGAGCGCGCATGAAGACGCCTGCCTACGGGCTAAATGACGCTTGATTCGGCACTCCGTTCTTACGGACTGGTGCCAACCAGGGCAGACCGTTGTACATACGTATACTACGGCAAGCAGCTTCCAAAGCCCGCATTGGTGAGTGAGAAGAAGTCATCCACTACTTTCGATCTCGAAGGAGCAGTTGATTACCTTATGGATCCTGTTTCTGGTAACAATGCCAAGAATCGACAAGTTCATGGAGCACTGTCTCTTCATGTAGATGATCTTCTTATGACGGGGGATGACGTGTTTGAGAAGGAAATCATGGGACGACTTCGAAAAGACTTTCAAGTTGGTTCCGAAGAAAAAAATATTGCCTCTTCGTAGGACAGCGCATCCAATGGAAGCGAGGTGACAAGCACGGTTGGTACATCAATGTCCATCAGAATGTTGCCATTGACGAACTTCAGGAGATCACCTTTGACAAACACCTGAAGGACGACACTCCTCTTACTCCACAAATGCATACTGCATACAGAAGTGTCCTAGGTCAGATCAATTGGTTACAGTCGCGAACGCAGTTCCACATTGGTTATCAATTCTCCAGGTGTGCATTCAAGGCATCATGACCGACCATTGAGGACGTTCGTGCCATAAGACAGTCAGAACCATCAAAAGCACAGTATGAGATTCTGGCCCCTTCGTGGCAAGACACGCATAGTTGGCTATCCAGATGCATCCTATCGCAACAATGAGGATAAGTCATCCCAACGTGCGCATGTTATATTTCTTGCAGAACAAAGAGATCTTCGCCAGGGCTCATCGAACTCGAGAGGCTCATTGATCGACTACGAGACGCACAAGATCACCGCCACAACCATGTCCACTACTGTTGCAGAGTTGCACGGACTAATGCGTTGTTACGGTTCAGCATTATTTCTTCGCGGTCTCTGGTCAGACATAACAGGCGAAATCGCAGATGTACACATCCGCACTGATGCGAACAATCTTGTCACCACAGCATCCACAACACATCAACCGGAACAGAAAGAAACAATGCATTTGATCCAGATGTTGAGAAAGGAAAGCAACAGTGGACAGATGCACGACCTTGCACATGTACGGAGTGAGGATTGTCTGGCAGATTCGCTGACCAAGCATTCAGCTAAAGCAGACGAGCTCATCAAGGCCGTCCTCACCGGAAATCTCTTGAATGTTGACGAACATCCACCTTTCCGTACCATGTTGCAGAACAAGGCGTTTTTGTTGCAGAACGGACCCGACATCATTGCCTTTGCAGGAGTCGGTATAGCAGAATCAATGTTTGCTTATTGGGGAACCTGGGCATGATCCGCATGTCCACGAATTCTGATGCATGAGTTTTCCGTTTTGCACATTTTCAATTCCTCAAATCCGTGATGCGTGTTTAGCACTTGACCCATTTTGAATCTCAAGAAATATGTGTCTGCATCCGCAGCCACTTTCGGTTTACAACCAATCCGACCTTTGCAATCTTGTATGCTCGATCATTCGAAGACATGCCCATTCTCAACTATGATCTTCGGACGATCCAGCGCCGCGGCACCTTTGCCAAAGCCGCTGGTGAAGAGACGGGCATCTCCGTTGAAGGAATCCCCTGCTCGTGATGAGGAAGATGAGACATCCGACTGCCCCATGGAGCAAGTCGCCGATGAGAATCCATCCGCCTCTCAACAACCCGAGAATGTCAACATGGAGCAGGTTGATTATGATCCAGATTCCGACGACGATGATTCAGATGAAGAAGGGCATCCTCCCACAGGAAGGCCGACGTCGAAGGCGATGCCACATCCAAAACTTGTTCCAAAGTCACCGCCACCAGCACTGAGGCTTGTCTCAAAGGTCAAGCCAGCACCAAAGAACATCCTGGATGAAGAGACGGAATCCGACAATCATCCTGGTGATCGACCTGCACTTCCAAGGCGACCAGCGATGCGGCCAGTTCTCACATCCAATGACCGGTGGTTTGTAACATATGGATCAGATACCGACATCAGCCTCCAGAAGGAATCCGTACACCCAGGACCTTTAGGAAACTCAAAATTCCTGAGTTTCGTGTACGAATACTACAAGGAGTGCTCAACCATCCTCGAGGTCAATCCGGACTTCCACTTCATTCCTGAGCATGAACGACCACCTGGAGTCAAAGTGTTTTGGTTGAAGGCCAGATTCAACGATTACTGGCAGCCAACACTTCAAGGTGAAGGACCTCATACAGAGAAACAATACATGGACTTCATCAAGAAGGTCTACAGCATCTGCTGCTACACCAATGCTCAATCCGAAGTTTACGGAACCGACATCATCCCGATGGTATGCCACAACGGCAACATTGATCTCGAGAAGACCGTCCAGAATGTCGAACAGGTTTGCAAATACTTCCACATGGATCCATCCAAGGCGAAACAGATCACCGACCTCATCCTCTGGCGAATCGAGAGAATGAGCAGATCGTTTTCCGGATGTCTTCGACATGATCCAAGGCATGGCATCCATAAGGAATGCAATCGACAAGCGGACATGGGTCCCTGATGGATCCGTTGAGCTCCATGACGCATTGACCTGCATCACACATGCCAGGAACTTCATTGGAAATAAGCCAGAACTTCTCTTGATGGCTATGTTCCCGAGCTATGGAAAATCACGTTTCGAAATGTATCCATCCGTGGACGGGTCATATAATGAGCGAAAGGCAAGGGGAGAAATTGTTCCAAGGAATCGGTGGATCGACAAGCTCGCCACAAGATCCGCACAAAATGCACTCCGGCCCGATGGCAAGGAATTCTATAATGATCCAGAGATGGAGTAGTATTTGAGATGCAACAGCGGACATACACGACAAGTCGAGATCCAATCCTTTGGACGACCCCCGTACTCTGAGCAGCAGAGAGAGCCTCAACACGACGAACCGGACTATGATCTCCCAACGGAATCCATTCCACCAAGTCCGCATCCGTCAAGATCCGAGGCGCCTCATGAAGATGAAGGCACAGCTCAGCCCAAGTACAGAATGCGAAGGCCGGCACCACCATCCATTGAAGAAGAAAGAAAAATCAAGCCGTTCGCGAAGAAGCCCAACACGTTCATGTTCCATGCAACCTATGGAAATCAGCTCCTCAGCATCATGGAGAACGGGCTCAAATCTGGGAAACCCCAGTCAAACCCTTCGGGGAGAGTGCACGTCCACATGGCATGCATCGATGACGTCATCCTTGACGACGATGAGTCAGAAGCAGCACTAACCCATGTGCCAGCAGGAAGAGATGCACTGTTGATCCTTGCATTCCTCAAGGACCCAGACTATGGCATCCGACTCTCCGAAGGGCGAACAGCATTGACAGATCAAACCATCGAGGCAAGGAACATTGTTGCAGCATTTGAACCTGATGGCAGCATCATGGCGAGCAACAAGTGGATCATGAAGAAGCATCTCAGTTATGAAGATTTGGAAATGTATGACACCAAGATCCGTGAATTCGCCGATGCCTTCCTTCTTCAATTATGTGAATTCCACCAAACACAGCAAGGAAAAAGACAC